CAAGTTCTTCAGCGATCACTGAACATACTCAGTGATGATCGCTGGAACTGAAAATACAGAGACACAAATACAACGTGAAAGGAAAAAAGGATTATCATCAAATCACTGAGAGAGAGAATCAACAGTTAGCTTATCATCTTAACCTAAATTCTATCAAAATACGACCAACCAAACGCTCGGCCACGACCCTAAAGACTTTGGCCCACTGCCACCTAAACTGTGATCCAATTAACGAATTTCTTACTTGTTTTACTTCATTCGTTTGGCAATGATCTTAGCTAAAAGATCATTAATCAATTTATAACTATATCCTATTTGATGGCAAAAATATGGACATAAACGAAGTCCATGATAAGCTTGAATCAAACTAGCATTTTTAATGCAAAATCTCAAATCAAACTCGAACCTTCCTTCCTCACTTGGTGGACTTTATCAATTGATACTCAACGCCCTCATCAAACACTGCGACCAAAAAAGTAGAGCCTACAACTAGTTCAAATCATGTTTGTACGACTCGAGCACAGCTCTACTCCTTACATCCCTACGTTTGGAAACCGTATACATATACACATAAAAATAAGAAAGCACTAGATTAATGAACTTTTTATGGACTAGTAACATTACATAGGAACATGCCCATATGACAATATGGTGCAAAAACTGCCCATAAAGGTTGGATGGATGTTAAGCTTAAAAAGAATAGAAGAACAAAAAGTAGTTTGTATGCATCTTTGCTACATGTTCATTTATCAGCAACCAGAGTCAAGGTAGTTCCTTCCGACAAAACCTCGGGTGCAATCTGCAGCGGCTCCAATGAATCTACTATATCGCGCATAAGTGGTCTGGCTTTAGGATTACGGTTCAAGCAATGGTAAGATAGCATGGCCGCCTTGTGGAACCCTTTAACCGGATAATCTCCTAGCCTAGGGTCAGCAATGTCTAGCAACTTCTTCTTTTCCTTGAGCAATGGGAGAGCCCAATCAGCAAGGTTCTGTTCTCGGGGCGGTCTAGATTTGTCCAATGATTTTCTTCCCGTTAGAAGTTCAAGAAGAACGATACCGTAGCTATAAACATCGCTTCTTGGAGTCAAATGGCCTAAAACAATAGCTATTTTCGTTAGCAAGAGATGGAATAGACTCGACCCAAATGAGTTGGTATTACAAACCTGTCATGATGTATTCTGGTGCTGCGTATCCATATGTTCCCATTATGCGAGTAGAAACATGAGATTTATCACCAACGGGTCCATCTTTAGCTAGGCCAAAGTCGGAAAGTTTTGCATTGTAGTCCTGAAAGCGTAATAGTAAGTACAGGGAACATGTTATACTCATCTCCTCACTAATCACATCGTGTAAATGGGACCGACACACATCTTCATCTCCTCACAACATATAAGTGGAATCCACAAAAGGAACATGTTATATGGCCTAATTAAGGACCTAATATTCATCAATCGACTTCAAATTGTTATGCTTATTAAATTATCAACAAAAAGTAGCAAGATGATGTAATGTTGTGAGTTTCTGGACTAACCGGGTCTAGTAAAATGTTTGAAGTTTTGAAATCACGATATATGACAGGTTTTTCTGCATCATGAAGGAAGGCAAGTCCTTTTGCAGCACCAAAAGCAATCTTCATTCTAGTTGACCATGGAAGAGGAAGTAACACCCCTGCAACAGAATAACATTTACAGATACTAAAGCATATGCAAAACCTACAACCATAAGAGAGAAAAGTAGCCACTTCAAGCACTGAAAATCAAGAAGCATGCATACTCCAGAAACTGAACTTTCTTCTCTTCCTGTCAATTATTCTTTCTTGAGTTGTAAAAGAAGCAAGACTTTGTTCTGTGCCATGCTAAATGCGGTTATTGGTCTTTTCTGGATTGGAGTTTTTAGAGACACAGGACTTGAGTGGCGGATTCTTTAGTAGGGTAAGGTAGAAGGTGACAACAAGGGTTTTGAGAGGAGGGTAGAGATTAGGCAAATAGGCTCCTTGTACATGTTTTACATCATTAAATCGTCTGCTTTGCACACAGTTGAAGCGTGCACACGCCATTGAGTTGTTCTTACCTGGTAATTTTCCTGATTACTTGTTCTATTACCTATCTTATTGCTCGCTTGCACACACCCTTGTGCCATACCCAACCTGAGGAGGGAGTCATGGAAACAACCCCTCGATCCTAGTGGTTGGGGTAAGGCCAGTGTACCTCATACCCCTCACAAACCCTACTGTTGTTTTGGTTTGGTTTTGGTCTTTTCTTGAAAACTAGACAAGTTCATAGACTTGGTAGGGTCTAAAGTACCTACTGTTAAGCAATGGCATTTACAAAATCAAACTAGAAAGTGTAGTTAAGATCGCATTGGAACATAAAAAGGAGGCAGGACAAACACTTGAGTTGAGCATCAGACTTATGCAACTGCATTAATTTTCCATCTAAAATATTTGCAATGGAGTACTTAAATGTAGTCAGTAAAAATCCGTATTCTTGTGCTGAACCTAAGAGGTCAACCTATACCTCATTGAAAGCAGGGGAATGATGAATATATTATGCTGCGACTGACTACATTTGCAAGCAAGATCACAGAATTTCTTACTCGAAAATAAATTATTCTCCACGCTTCCACGTGCCATATACTCATATATGAGAACTCTATGCTCGTCTTCGCAGCAGTAACCAATCAGTTTCACTAAATTTGGATGAGAGAGCTGTCCCAAAAATATGACTTCAGCCTACAAAGCACACAAGAGCTATAATTAAATGGAAATTGACCGAAACCACTATACTGAAAATATGCATACATACATGCATGTGTGTGTGTATATAGATATATAGAGAAAGAGAGGAGTTATAATCACCAGCCATTCTCTATGGCCTTGATAACTGTTATCCCCATCGTGAACCTTAACGGCTACTGGTATAGGAGAAATCGTGTCTTTTAAATCATCAAGGAAGCCTTTGTAAACACTACCAAATCCCCCTCCACCTAGCATGTGATCTTGTCTAAAGTTACCAGTGATTTTTCTTAGTTCGTCAAATGTGAACACAATTAATGGATTAGTAGCAGAACTACGACGCAGATCTTCTACTTCTTCAGGATTTGATGGCAGCCTACTTTCTTCCTCCTTTCTTTTGGCCACTGAATCTTCAACCTTGGGCAACTCTGAAAATTAAGATGAATTCATGTGACGACAACAATTAAGCACGTGTTAAGATAAATGTCGACTCCATAAGTTTGTATACATGAATGGAATAGAACAACTTAATCAAAAACATTTGCTTGACATCCAAGGCTCCAACAGCCATCAGTTGATATGTAATTACTGAGTTGGTATACATATCAGTAGTATTATTGATGTGCCATCAGCAAAAATTGAAGTCATACAAGGAGAAATTGCCTTCTTTTTTAAGTTACAACATATACCCAAAGGGAAACTGGAAAAGGCTGAAAGTGAGACCATCAGACCAAGAGAAAAAGTTGGAAGGGTGATATTGCCTTGTTTCTGTTCGATGGGTACTCTGTCATCAGTAACAACTAGAAAAACTAAATCAACATGCAAAGAAACATATTCAGAAACGCCACCTTTTCTATTTCTTAATGGAAGTAGCAAATCAGGAACATACCTCTAAACACGAATCTCAAAGCAACAAAGCAAAAGGACGAAAAAACAAAGGATCATAATCCCTAGGTTTTATTGTCGGTTGCCACAAAGCAACACCAAATACCCATCTCCTAGAATGCATGTTAACCAAAACCCAGTAAAAGAATTCACCCATCTTCACATAGAATAAGAGAAATAAGAACTTTGGCAGTCAACCGATCAGATTGTTTACTAAAAATTGATCATTCTTTGCGAGTGGTCAACTTTTGGACATGGGATCAACTGAAACTACATAGAACTGTTGTGGAACAAACACTTTCTGCAAGTTGTTCTAATTATGGAACATAGGGTAATAAAGAAAAGGAAACGTACCTGAGCTTTGCGTCAAACTGTATGTTAAATATGAACATGAATCACATACACAGAAGGACAGATTAAAACTAAAAAGTTTATCAGAAAACCCACCTGATTTTGTGTTGGATGAGACTCTGTATATGGAGGGTTTCCACTTACACCAGCAGCTACCCATCATACACCAAAAAACAGAGATACCCCAAGAAAAAACCTCGCTCCTCTCTTTTACTCAAGCACGAGGAAAACGATCACTAGTGACATAAACAAGAAAAATAACCCATTAAAAAAAAGAGGAACAGATTAGGGGTACTCTTTTAAAGGTTGAATCTTTTATTGGCAAGAGAGAAAACCCAAGCAAGATTTTTTATTAAAGCGTTGTAGAGGTTTGTGGGCAAATTTCTTGTGGGAACCAACCATCTTTCTTGATGGTAATGATGAAGTGGAGTGTCGAAGTGGTGGTGGGGGCTGTTTTCCATAGGCTTGTTGCTTTGTTTTGATTTCAAAATTGTGCTGTGTGCGCTGTTTCTTTTCATTGTTTTAGTGCGCCCTGGAGCATTTTAATAGCCATCAGTCCTTGTCTATCCTCCTCAAAACCTTCCTTTTCTTAGCCTGCGCCTGACTCCTTTTCCAATCTGTTCACATAGATTCCCTCAATAGTAGTGCATAAATGGGCCTCTGTTCCTACAGCACCTCTTTTACCACAACTTGCAAGTTTTGCAACTATATTACCTACCAATTAACGTAATTTACTAGGGCAATAGCACGTGCATTTGTTTATCCCCAAAGAAAGGCAGTAGTGATGATGTAGTACAGCATATGCCAAAGCAGACCAGAAGTGGAAATGAAGATTGGCACCTTGTATTTCCAGTTGGTGTTATCCCAAACAACTCCTGTTATGGCATTCTCATATTGCTTAGAAGGATTGTACTTTATGCATGTACAATTGTACTTCCATTGAAGAAACTCAAATCTCATTTGCAACAAGATTTCTTGTATGTTTACTTCAATTTCTCTTGGGTGTAGTTTTTCCTCTGTGGCATCTACACCTGGGTCAATCCACCGAGGGTAAAACACGAAAAATTAACCGAGACAGAAGCCTGTATTATTGAATCTTATACCAACTGTAATAAGCGTATAGAGGATTCTATCTCCTAACATCAGAAGGAGAATGTTCTTTTTTTCTTTACGAAACAAGATATGAATAAACTTCATTGGACTTTCAAAGACAATATATGAATACAACGAGGCAGGAGAGAAAAGCAAACTAAACACGAAACATAGAAGCAATCCATACCCAACATAATGAGGAACAATATACGTGTAACTTCTAACTCGACATTACTTAAATATGGGGAATTCTCTAAAATACTGGGGCATGAGATAAATCTTGATCAGGGTGTAGTATTAGTCTTGTATAGTAAGTGCACATATTGGACCAATTATCAAAATAATGCCACTGTGAAGAAGATAATAATATTCAAGTTGGTGGTAATTCAAACGTCATGCTGTAGATATGTATGTCTGGTAGCTTTTTTCTATTATTTATTCCAAAAATCTAGGTTGTTTAGGTACCTGAGTTTAGTAATATATTTTAAAGTGTTTCACAAGTTAGCTTATACAATTAGAGGAAAAGAAAATCATTTGCTCCTTAAAGTCATTATATGCATCTAAAGTGTCAGCATTACCAAAATAACAATGATAATCTACATGGAAAGGTCACATGCTATCATTAAATTTGTTCATTTCGAATTACACCTTAAGGCATCTGCAACTTTATAGAACCCATGTTGATATTAGAATGAATCAAACACAACTTTTTGTTAATATTGACAAGATGATTGACCAGTATAAAAATTATGAAATACGTGTAAACTCGTGCAGGGTTATTTGGTGTGTGGTTGACATTGAGAAACCTAAGAAATTATGTGTTACCCTGATGATGATTATGTAAATGGTGACAATCACTCTCATACTTGATAAGAAGAAAGTAAGTCGTGACACGTTTTCATGGAAATCGTATTCAACCAGTCAATTATACCATACATATAGGCATGATTATCCAGGGACAATATAATCTATCCTAAAGTGGTGTGAGTTGAAAACATAAAGTAGCAGACAAGATTTAGTGCCTTTTTGGTAGATTTTAATCTAGGAAATGCATGAAAGATCTTCGGATTATACATTGTTAGTAGATTTAAACAGTACTGGTATATGTTTTTGTCTCTGTTCCTCTGAGAGAAAGGGACAGAGAATTTCAAATTCTACTTTTAGGTTATCTTAATAATAAAAGAGCCCGATAACTATAGTGGATCAGGCTCAATGATAGTTTTTCGGTTAATAGTTTTCATATTATTAGCCTATTTCCTCATAATTGAAGAAGCATTTCTGATACTGCTTAAAGTTTCTTACAACTAAATTATCTGTATATTGGGCCATGGGCCAAACCTGTTTAGTTTTTGCTAATTCGTCTTAGGCTATAATGATAGTATTATCTAATCAATTATGGACCACATAACAATATGTATCCACTGGAGTTTCCGCCTTCCCTGGTCAACACTTCCATATTATGCTGCCTAGTGGATAGCAATGGCATATATACAAATGCAGAATATCAAAAAGTATTATCGATCATGATTTGATCAACATATCATAATAAATGAAAGGTTATGAGATGAATTATCATGAATACTTGATCCCTTTTACATAAGGTACCTGATATTATAGATTAACAGTACTAATCACTGAATAATAGATTAATTGCACGCAAAATAATTTGAAAGTTTTGATTGAATTTTCAATGAAAAGCGTTTGGTTAATACAAAGAGTTTCAAATTCTTTCCCATGCTAATCATACTAAAAGGAACTACCTTTTTCCCCTTATTAACATTTTCTTTAGTCAACATATGGTCCCTTAAGGAAGTGTTGTTAAGTATGAAGCTACGAGCGAATAATCACCTGAGTCACAATGCTGTCATTTTCCTTTCCATTGCAACATCCACTTTACACCAGTCCTGCAACAAGCACTTAAAGAAAATATTTTTTATGGAGCATAATTTCTTCCTATATACACATGTGATCATGCAAGGTACAACGTAATGGAATATCCTATAGAATCAACATGCATCATCAATTTCTGGAAACAGAAAATATGCAGCAAACTATTCTTCTATTGACTGATTACAATTATCTTAATGATAATTATCCATGAGTTTTACTTCCCATATACTTAGCACACACGAAAGCAAATAAATTCTATGCTTGAAAGAATCAACATCCAATTTAATGTTTTGCAGCCTTTGTAGTTGTTAAGAATATATGTGATATATCCAAGTCTATTCACGTGAAGATTGTCACTTCGAATTGCCACCACATGTATGATAATTAGACTATCATCCACTTAATTTCTCTAAAAAAATGAACCATGTGTAGACTGTCTATATACAACTTCACCATAGAAGAAAATTACTTTAAGCTGTAATTAGGATTCTGCTTATCAAAGCAAACAAGTTGCTTTACTTCAATCGAAATTATGATGCATGGAGGTGCAATTATACTTGCTATGGCAGATATCAGACACCTACTAACCAAGCATGTGTTCCTGCTTCATCATTCAATCTTTATTCCTTATCAATTCTGTGTGTTTCTTAAGCTGCAAGTCCTTGTTAACTATCCTGTAATTCTATGCAAGACAATTGACCATCACATATGCAACTTTTATTGAGCAGGAGTATGGCTAAGCAATGATTCTGTTGATAGCACAATCATTTTCAAGTTAAGCAAGTATCCTTGCACCACAAAATAGTCCCCCATATCTACTAGAAACCTACATATACTTCAGCAATGAGTATTAGTTCTTTAAAAAGCATCATGCATAATGAACCTTTTAGTCCATATACATAAAATATCAAAATATAAGGAATCAACAATTCCAAATAAAAGCATATGCAAGTTGCTATTGCTTCAGTCACTTGGAATTACCAGAAGCACTAGAATTATGTTGGCTGATGTAATGCGTACATAAGTCGCCTAAATATTTGTTATTTTATGTGTTGAAGGTATAACCAACAAAACATCAAGATCAAAGTATAGAAATCGCATTGAGTTATTTGAGAACATTTTACGATGTATACAAGCTAGACTTATAGTGCATCATCGAATAAAACTGTTTTTCCCAGAAGAATAAGATCTTATCAGTGTATTAAAAGTAACCCTAATGTGGTATTACATTGGAATGTAGTATTAATAAAATGCAGCTATCTTTGTATATTAATCAAAACCATGGACCAGAAGAAGGGTAAAAAAGTGACTTTATTAACTCAGGAATGATGAAGAGCACATGCACTACTCTTTGGTGGTATCCATAGTGTCAATGATAGAGCTTTAAGAAGTGGTCTTCGGTGGTATCTTACCTAAGGGGCTAGACTATACACTAGATGGTATAATAATATAACACAGTAACACACAAGCAATGCACAAACAAAACGAAAAAGTGGCAACCATTGTCCACTGTATAAGAGCAAATACCATCATGATTCTATGTTAGAGCTTTTATAGCTTCAATATCTTCGGCTGCAAGAAGCTCCTCAACCACTGACTCTCTAAGCAGCCACCTTCTTCAGAACATAATAGTTTATCCTTTTACTTTAGTATATAAGCCTGACTTAAGTTGTAGTTTTTCCATATCAGGAACGATGACAACCAGAACTGACCGCTCCTTTTTGGGCCTCTTCTTTTTATCACTTTATTTTTTTCACTCACCATCCACTTTAGATGTAACTTTACTACCAAAAGTGCTTTTAACTTTTTCATGTTTTGGTCCCCTCTTTAATGCAATTCTCACATCTGCCTTCTTGTTTTATTGTTACCATCTTACACAGGTTTACATTGTCTATTTAAGGTGCAACGATATTCAAGATCCTATCTTCACTTCAAATTACCATCTTCAGCTCCTTTCCAGTGTCTCGCCAAGGTGACTCTCCCAAACCCCTCTAGTTCCCATTATGTTTCATCTCAAACCAAAATATGCAATAAGACTTCCCCACCACTGATCATACTTATCACTATTTCTTCCTCAAGCCAAGAAGATGCAAGGGAGTCCATCC